TTCATTTTTTTAAAGTGGCATTGGCAGCCTTGATCAATGGGAAATCACGCGATGAACGGAATAAAGAGGGATGCTGCATAACCAACCAGATTTGATATGTTGTTGAAGGGTTTTAGGGCCGGAGTTCATTAGTTGTTGTAGATTTTCCGAACTGTATGGCTGTGGTCTTGGCATTGTAGGACCTGACATTTCGCCAGCAGCTGTGACTGACATCCTCAGAGGTATAACACAGAAAGATGGAGTACTCTCTGTGTCAAGGTGAGAAGAAAAATGTTTGGCAGGTAATTTATATCTACTCAGGAAGGTGGCGTAGGGCTGAGCCATTATCTTGTAGTTGTTCCCCAGGCTGTGACATGCTAATGGAGGAGCTTTCCTGAGGAGGTTCTTTTGCATATGGATTGGCTGTTGAAATTTTCTAATCTTATCTGTAGTGCTGTTGTAAGATGTAGAGCATTTTGTGTTTTTCAGGACAGGAAACCATGCCCTATTTATTTTTAACAACCAGATTGGCTGGGTGTGTAGGTCACTGAGGGCATATGTAGCCAATGCAGAGCGAGGGCAATGCTTCCTATATTGGTGGATGCTTCCTATATTGGTGCTTTAGAAGCAGTCAACGGAGAAATCAGCAGAAAGAAAGAAAAACGTTTTGGGACAGCACTGTAAATTTTTTGGGGGGTAATACACTGCCTCTCTTCTCCACTCTAACATACCCCTTTTTTGAGGGCAAGATCATACAGGAACTCTTCGCCTTACTTGCAGCATTTCACCTTGAAACTTTCCCCTCCCTTCACAAACATTAATTTTGCAAAACAAAGTTTGAGTCCAGTGGCATTTTAAAGACAAAGTCTGATTCAAGGTATAAGCTTTAGTGTGCAAGCATACTTCTTCATATACTGTGTGATACCAGATTGGCTGGGTGTGTAGGTCACTGACGGCATATGTAGCCAATGCAGAGCGAGGACGATGCTTCCTATATTGGTGGATGCTCCTTTAGAAGCAGTCAACAGAGGAATCAGCAGAAAGAAAGGAAAACTTTTTGGGACAGCACTGTACATTTTTTGGGGGGGGTAATACACTCTCTTCTCCACTCTAACATACCCCTTTTTTGAGGGCAAGATCATACAGGAACTCTTCGCCTTACTTGCAGCATTTCACCTTGAAACTTTCCCCTCCCTTCACAAACATTAATTTTGCAAAACAAAGTTTGAGTCCAGTGGCATTTTAAAGACAAAGTCTGATTCAAGGTATAAGCTTTAGTGTGCAAGCATACTTCTTCATATACTGTGTGATTGCACACAAAAGCTTATACCCAGTAATATTAGTTTCAGTCAGGGGTCATTTCATAGAAAAAAAGGCGCAGGAGCTCATTTGCATAGCTTATTTGCATATGCCACCCCCCCCCCGACATCACCAGAAGTGTGTCAGAAGGCAACACCCACCGCTCAGGCTCCACTGGACTGTTTTGGATTGCTAGCTGTTGGGGGGCGAACGCACAGATCTGCCGTCACACAGGAGGGAGAGCTTCTACCTGAAGGTGGGCTGGAGGGGGGGCTCTGCAACTTACCTGGCTGCTTCTTGCTCCTCGTGGCCCGACTGAGGGCTGCTGGGAGCAGGGGGCGGGGCTTGTTGCATGTGCCCGCCCCCTGGGCTCCTTACTGCCGGAGCTCCGCTCCTGTGCACTTCTGCAGGAAATGACCCCTGCTTATACCATGAATCAAACTTTGTTGGTCTTAAAGGTGCCACTGGACTCAAACTCTGTTCTGCTGCTTCAGACTGGCATGGCTACTGACCTGAATTAGTTTTGCAGGCGCATGCACATTCCCTGTTGGAATTATTGCTTCCGAAGTATAGGGCGGTATTTTTCCTTGCACATCTGAACGCCTTGCCATCGGCCGTGTTGTTAGGAAGGTTTAATGGTATTCCAGACTCAAAGCGACTCTGCATGTGTGGTACTGAGTTGACTCAATAGATCATATTCTTGTGGCTTGCCCTAAGTTTTCAGATTTGAGAGCGGGACTGATTTTTCCCTTTGGCCTTTAGAAGAGAAGTCTCCTTGCTTACTGAGAGATGAAGGCAAACATGCAACTTAGCGCGTGGCTAAATTTTGGGCGGTTGTAGTAAAAATCACATTGTAACTCGAGTAGCAAATCTTGAGGCTTCCTTTTCCGTTTGTGGGGACTCACAAAAAACAGAAATGGAGAAAAAGACATTCCCTTTTCAGGGTTCTGGGTATCACCGTCTATTGTAGAAGCAGAGCTGTAGTTATTCACCACAGCTTAAAGACTAGGCCCCAAACAGAGCCTTGATAACACTTTATAGCCCTTTCTCCTTTGCTTGCAACTTTGTTTCAGTCTCATTTAATATGAAACAGATTTTAATCTCTTGGCCTGGATATAGGGCACGGTATTTATCACATTTGGGGGAGTTTTTCAGGATTTCCTAGCCTTCCCTTCCCTGAAACCTGGAGGCCGTGTGATCTTCTGGAACAGAATTCAGGGGTTGCTTTGAGAAAGGATTTGGTTACCTCACAATAGAAGCAACTTAGTGTGTGGGCACATCGGCTGTAATGTATAGGGTTGCCAGACCCCCCCCCCAGTGGAAGTGGGGGTCCCCTGCCACCAGGCCTTGCCCCCCAGCCACCAATCAGCTGGTGGGCTGGGGGACTTACTTGGAGGAAGAGAATGTGCCCCAGGCCTCGTTGCCAGTGCCACACAGGAAGTGATGTCATCACACCAGTGGCGTCCAGACGCTCTGGTATTTGGGCCAAAAAAACTCTGGTGGAAGCCAGTCTTACCATAGAGTTTTGCCCAAATGCCAGAGCGTTGCCTGGGCGTCGCTGGTGTGATGATGTCACTTCCTGTGCGATATCGGCAACGAGGCCTGTGCCTTTCTCTAGGTAAGCCCCCAGCTCCCTAAAAAGAGATATTTGTGTTATCACTGCTGATTTCTAATATAGACTGTTCAGGTATTCATTGCCAATCTCTAAATTAATTCCCCCCCCCCCCCCTTGGTGTACCACTGTGAGTCCTATAATAGGAACCCTGGGAGAGTAATTCTAAGCAGGTCTACTCGGAAGTAACTCAGGGTTACGCTGAGGATAGGCTCGCTTCCTGGGCAAGATAACTCGTTGACTTAATTTCCCGCAAAGGATTTCCAGGGGGGGAAATGTCGATGTAGTGGAAGACCTCAGTGGTAACAACTCTGGCTTTTCATTACCTGGAGTGCATTCTATGGAAGCAAGCGGGTTAATAAATTTTTAAGTGCCGTAAGGTCTTGCATAAGTGCAGTTCTGCAGAAGATCTTGACCCATATCTCCAAGCGACAAAGGAAATCTTTCCTTTTTTGACTATAGTTGAGTCGCACCCTGGCCTGGATGGCCGAGACTATCACAATCTCAGGTTCGCCGCAGATCTCAGAAGCTAAGCAGGGTCAGCCCTGGTTAGTACTGGGGATGGAAGACCAACCAAGGACGTCCAAGGTCACTGAGAAGAGGCAGGCCATGGCAAACCATCTCTGTTCGTCTCTTGCCTTGAAAACCCTACAGCAGTGATGGCGAACCTTTTAGAGACCGGAGGCCGAAACTGCGACCCAAACCCCACTTATTTATTGCAAAGTGCCAACACGGCAATTTAACCTGAATACTGAGGTTTTACTTTAGAAAAAACCCCTCATACATTAACTTAAGATGATCCAGACAAAGTAAGGAAAGCAATCCCAAATGCTTTCATTTACTTAAAATTATTTGGCAGAGAATGCGACACTTTAATGATGGTCTGGGCCTGGCTGGGGAGATGGCACGCGTGCCCACGCGTGCCCACAGTGTTCCCTCTAAGCTGAGTTAGTGTGAGCTAGCTCACAGTTTTTCAGCTTCCAGCTCACACATTTTTGTCCTAGCTCAGGAAGGAGGGCTCCAGAGCAAACTAATTCATGCAGCAGCTGATTCGCTGGCTCACAACTTTAATGCCAGTAGCTCACAATGTAGAATTTTTGCTCACAAGACTCCACAGCTTAGAGGGAACATTGGCTGTGAGTGCCACCTCTGGCACCCGTGCCATAGGTTCGCCACCACTGCCCTACAGGGTCACCATAAGTCGGTTGTGACGATGACACACAATTATTAGACCCTGACCTATCCTGTCTGATCCTGAAACTAAGCAAGGTCGGCCTGGTTGATACTTGAATGGGAGACCACCAAGGAAGTCCAGGGTTGCTACACAGAGGCAGGCAATGGCAGACCTCTTCTGAACATCTCTGGTCTTGAAAACCCGAGGGGGTTACCATAAATCGGCTGCGACTTGATGGCACTTCCTGCCACCCCGTTCTTCCTTTGTACACCCCCCGTGTAGAGATGTAAAATTTCCGGAAATCTTGAAGCTCGGGAAAAAAACCTGTTTTTTTCCCGTTTCCCCCCCTGGAAAAAAATGGAAATTTTCGGAAAAATTGAAAAAAATGCTACATTAGCATTTCTTTTGTCTTTTCTAGATTGAAAGTCATTTTTTTAGGAACTTTAGGAACATAAAATATGACTATGGGCATTTTTACTTGGCATGAAATTATCACAACTAGCATATTAAAAATATAGTGTATCCAAACAATTATTACAAACAGAATACCCACCCACATGCAAAAACAAAACTGAAACTTTATTTTCTTCTGACAATCGCACCTCCTAAAGGAAGAAATGCATCTTGTTCTTGCATTGGAGAGTTCAGTTTGTAACCTAGGACTTGCTTGTCCTCAGTGCACAGAAATTAGATCAATCTGATACCATATATATACATCTTGTCTTAAAATATTTTATTCATCATGTTAAAATAAAACGGTCCATAATCAATTTTTTTTCTTTTTCTTTTTTCAAGTTTTCTAGTTTTTCGGAAAAAAAACAAAAAGGCTTCAGGAAAAAAAACGGTTTCCCCCCGAATTTTTCCGTTTTTTTCCGGGCCTTCACCGCTTTAACCTGTCTGTTGCTTTCTTGCATGTTTCCGCAGGCTGTCCACAGTAGTCTGGAGACCCATCCGCGTCTCTCATGCCCACGGTAAGCCATGGCGACTGACGACAAAGTTGCCATTCTGACGGACGACGAAGAGGAGCAGAAGAGGAAATACGTCCTCGCCGATCCTTTCAATGGGATCTCCAAGGAGCAAGACCCCCAAGCCCAGAGCGACACGCAGTCGACCGAGACCACCACCACCACCATTCCCGACGAGGAGCTGGACTGGCTCGAAAAGCACTGCGTCAAAGTGAACAATGACCTCCTGGTCTCGAAAGTGTTTTATTTTTTCTTCTACGCCGCGTACGGCTCGCTCTACCCGTTGCTGCCTGTGTATTACAAACAACTGGGCATGACGCCCAGCCAGAGCGGACTCCTGGTGGGCATCAGGTACTTCATCGAGTTCTGCAGCGCCCCCTTCTGGGGAGTGGTGGCAGACCGCTTTAAGAAAGGGAAGGTGGTCCTCCTCTTCTCCCTCTTGTGTTGGGTGTTGTTTAATTTGGGGATTGGGTTTGTGAAACCGGCCACCTTAAGGTGCTCGCCAAAGTTCCCGCCACCAGCGCACCCGACAAACGCCAGCCACCTCTTGACGACAGCCCCACAAAACCTCTCGGTCACTTCTCCGGTGACTGGGGCTGGGGCCACGTTACCAAAGAGCAAACAGAAAAGAGACCTGCCCCCTTCTGGCCTGCCACCCACGGACTCCACGTTACCTGCAATTTCGGAAGCCACGTTCCACCTGACTACTCACAGTGGCGATTGGAAGCCGTCTTTACAAGACGAAGGGAGTGCCGTTACTGACAACGCTACAAAGCCTGACTCGGCGAATGCCATGGTTACCCTGGGACCTTTCAGAAATACGACCGCTGCTTCAACGTCGCCCGCGGTCACCACAAAGGCAGTGTCTCCTGTTCCGGTCTCTCTCGTCTACGATCATCGGGAGGTGGAGGCTATCTTTCTGCTCATCCTCTTGGTGGTCATCATCGGCGAATTTTTCAGCGCCTCGTCAGTTACCATCGTAGACACGGTGACCCTGCAGTACCTCGGCAAACACCGGGACCGCTACGGGTTGCAGCGCATGTGGGGCTCTCTGGGCTGGGGGCTGGCCATGCTGTCCGTGGGGATTGGGATCGACTCGACCCGTATCGAGGTCTTGGTGGAAGGTCAAGGCTGCAAGGCCCCGGAGTACAAGAATTACAGGATCGTTTTCATCGTCTTCGGGGTGCTGATGACTCTTTCGCTGATTGTGGCCACCCAGTTCCGGTTTCACTACAACCACTACAAGCAAGAGGACGACCAAAGCAATGAGGCGGAGGGCTCCCAGGGGGACAGAAACCCTTCCATGGACTCGTCCCACGAGACCCCCAGCGACACGAGTCAGTCGCAGTCCTTTAGCTTCTGGGATCTGATCAAGATGCTCTGCAGCATCCAGTACGGCTCGGTGCTCTTTGTGGCTTGGTTTATGGGCTTTGGGTACGGCTTTGTGTTCACCTTTCTCTACTGGCACCTGGAGGACCTGAATGGGACCACCACCCTGTTTGGCGTCTGCTCCGTCCTGAGCCACGTGTCTGAACTGACCGCCTATTTCTTCAGCCACAAACTGATTGAACTTATCGGCCACATCAGGTAAGTGAATATTTGAATGAAGCGTTCCCTATTTCTGTGCGAAACGAACGTTCGGGAGAGCATGTTTGGAAAGGAAATGGGGCTGTAGTACAAACAAATCGCTCAGGAGGACACTCGTTTATAAGAGGAGTTGGAATGTAGTCTGTTTCAAGGTTCATTGACATCTACCTCTTCCTCCTCTTCCTCCTTTTCCTTTTCCTCTTCTTCCTCTTCCTCCTCAACCACCTCCTCCGCCTCTTCTTCCTCTTCCTCCTCCTCTTCCTCTTTGTCTTTCTCATCTTCCTTTTCCTCTTCCTCTTCCTTCTTTTTTCCTCTTCTTCCCCTCCTCCTTCTTTTTCCTCTTCTTCCTCTTCCTCCTCCTCCTCTCTGTCTCCTTCTTCATCCTCCTCCTCTTCTTTCTCTTCCTCTTCTTCCTCTTCCTTCTCTTTTTCCTCTTCTTCCCCTTCCTCTTCCTTTTCCTCTTCTTCCTCTTCCTCTTCTTCATCCTCCTCCTCCTCTCCATCACCTTCCTCCTCCTCCTCTCCATCACCTTCCTCCTCCTCCTCCTCTTCTTCCTCTTCTTCCTCTTCCTTCTCTTTTTCCTCTTCTTCCCCTTCCTCTTCTTTTTCCTTTTCCTCTTCTTCATCCTCTTCCTCTTCGTCTTCCTCCTCCTCCTCTTTTTCTTCCATTCTTCTTCTCAAAATTTATAACCTGCCTCTCTGCCCTTAAAAGGATGCACGATCAAATTTACATTATAAAAGCATTATAATAAAAACATACATTATGAAACCATTATAATACAAACATATAAAATGTACATCAGTAAAATAACTTTTTAGAGAGTTAAAAAACAGAGTTAAAATGCATACAGAACAGTTAAAATGCATACAAAACGTAAAAACATTGATTGGGAAGGAGGGATCGCGGAGGGAATGCCAATTGCCAACTGAAGCAAAAGATTCTTGACCGCTCGCAGAAGTTGGCAACAGAAGGGGACAGGTGACTCACCGTACTACTGAAATCCCATTTTCTGCATTGTTTATAGTGGACCCGATACCCTTTGCATTGGTTTCTAGCTTTTGAAATCCTATTCCCGTTGCATTGTTTGTTGGTTTTTGTCGTACTCTGCGATCACGTTTTATCTGCCTCGAGAAAGCAAACTTTAAGAGCTGCATTTATAAAGTTAAGTAAATAAATAGCTGTTGTCAATCGGAAATTAGTGTACCAAAACACACCCTGAAAGGAGCATTGTACTAAACAAAAGCAATACAGGAACAACTGTATATCCTTGCTAACGTTTAAGGTATAAAATTATTCTACCATTTTGTTGCTGTTGTTAAATAATCATCTGTTTGAGGAGGCAGATGCTATTTCAGAATCTTGCTGTTGCTAACTGTTGGCGCTTCCTTTCCGTCCCCAAATCAAATTTGTTACAGATGATGGATCAAGAAGATAGCGAATGCTAAGCTGCTGGTTACAATAACGTTTGATGAAAGTGGCGGTTTGAAGCCAGTGCGATAAAAGGATAGGAGGGCAGATAATTCTTTTGAGGACAGTTTTCAGTTGGCTCAGTAGGGCTGTGGCTCAGTTGGTACGGCATCTCCTCGGCATGCAGAAGGTCCCGGTTTCAATCCCCAGCATCTCCAGGTACAAGGACCTGGCAATAGGTGATGGGAAAGACTTCCGCCTGAGACCCTGGAGAGCCACTGCCAGTCTGAGTGGACAATACTGACTTTGATGGACCAAAGGTCTGATAAGGCAGCTTCGTATGTTCATAGAATCATAGAGCTGGAAGGGACCTCTGGGGTCATCTAGTCCAACCCACTGCACAATGCAGGAAGTTCACAAATACCTCCCCCCACACACCTCCAGTGACCCCTGCTCCATGCCCAGAAGATGATAAAAAAACCTCCAGGATCCCTGGCCAAACTGGCCTGGAGAAAAATTGCTTCCTGACCCCAAAGTGGCGATTAGCATTTCCCTGGGCGTGTAGGAAAGGGCCACGAGAACTAAGCACTGAGGCAACCCTTCCTACCCTCCCTTCTCGTGATCCGCCCAAGTTCACAGAATCAGCATTGCTGTCAGGTGGCCGTCTAGCCTCTGTCTCAAAACCTCCCAAGAAGGAGAGCCTGCCACCTCCCGAGGAAGCCTGTTCCACTGAGGAACCGCCTTAACTGTCAGGAAGTTCTTCCTAATGTTTAGATTCAGATTCAACCCGTTGGTTCTGGTCCAACCTTCTGGGGCAACAGAAAACAACTCCGCACCATCCTCTATATGGCAGCCCTTCACATACTTGGAGATGATCACCATATCACCTCTCAGTCGTCTGATTCCCTTCTTCCCAGGTGATGTGAGGAGGGAGGTATTCCATCTGCCTCCACCTCCCAAGGCAGCCATTTTGGATTTTGACTCCGCCTCCCGAGGCAGCCATTTTGAGGTGGCACTCACCACACCCTCTCAACATTCCACAGCCTAGCGGATTCCCAGTTTATATACACACGTGTGGGACTAACATGGTTCCTGCATGAAACTGGGATCCAGGTAGAAGCATTGTAGTTTGTGAACTTATTCTGGGCACTGACAGTCCTAAGTGCTGACCTTTGATGCTGCGTCGTCTGATGAACGGAAAACTGAAGGTAAACAAGCCGTAGCTGTTTTGGATACACAGGTGTGCGGCAGGTGCCAGAGGGAACAAAGGTGCTCTTCTCGAATGCCACAAATGCTAAAGGAAGTGCTGGGGACTTGGAATGCAAACAGAAGAGGCTTATAATCTGAACAAAGCCGAGCCATTTTGAGGCCAGCGGTGCTCTTCTCGAATGCCACAAATGCTAAAGGAAGTGCTGGGGACTTGGAATGCAAACAATCTGAACAAAGCCGAGCCATTTTGATGCCAGTGCTGTACTAAAACTTCAGCAGCAGTTGGTATGCATTTTAAATCAAGGCAGCTCTATATTATTGGCTTGGATGCAGGCCCGTAGCCAGGATTTTGTGCCTTGTGGGGCAAATTTCTTTCTGGTGGGGCTGAGGTTCTCAGCGTAGAAAGCTGTTATCAGGATAGATCTCTAAACAGCAAGCTGTCAACCACTTGAGATCACAGTTATTAGTTGCTGCAAGTTAATCACTTCTGCCAGCCTTAGAAACAATTCCGATAACAAGCCGGCAGGTATGGGTGATGATTTCTGTAGTCAAGAAAGCTAACACTTAGGCAGAAATACGCTCTTCAAGGAGACCAGTTTCTTGACCCAGACTTAGAAGGGATCCTAGAGGTCACCTACTCCAACCCTCTTGCTCAGTGCCGGAATTAGTCAGCTACAGCACCCCACTCTGCTTAAAGAAGCACACACCAAATGTTTGAAAATAACTGAAAAAAGCATTTACAGGAGAAATTCTTGTGGCACTGTGGCTTTAAGAAAGGGGGTGGAGCCTCCAAAAGTCCCCCCCCATAGCTACGTGCCTGCTTAGATGATGCTTTAAAACAGGAGTCCCCAACCTTTTTTGAGCCTGCGGGCACCTTTGGAATGCTTACAGATTGCTGGATGTAAGCCCAAAATGGCTACCACAAAATGAGAGCCTGCGGGCACCTTTGGAATGCTGACAGATTGCTAGATGCAAGCCCAAAATGGCTACCACAAAATGACTGCCGCAGGAGGTGGAACCAGCTACAAAACAGCTGATGCGGCTGATCTTCAGTCACACAGTGAAGATCCTTGTGCCCTGGAAGCAGCTGCTATCAAAGCAATATTTTTAATAATCTGCGCAGTCAATCAAATCTCCAATAGCTAATCAGAAGCCTTCCTGGGCAAAAGCCACACCTGGCCCCACTTACTTTCTAAAGACACTTCGTGGGCACCAGGAAAGATGGTGATGGGCACTATGTCAGGTATCCCTGCTTTAACATCAGCAAGAGGAAAAGGCTGATTTAGATCACAGGTCCAAAGCAAGTTGATTCCTGTGTTTCCTGAATAAGCATAAAAGCTTCCTGTTGCTGTAACAAGGAGGATAGAATACATTGGTTTACAACTAAATTGAATTTCTGTAGAGAATAAAGTTTGAGTCCAGTGGCGCCTGTCAGACTCTTCTGCAAACTTCAGTCTCAACAACACTGTTTTCAGTGATTTGTTTATTGAGATATTAAGATGCTGCAAGCTAAGACACTCTTGTGTCAGAACTGCTGAAACAGGCTCCAACCTGAAAGTTATACCCCATTCAAACAGCTCCCCCCCCAATAGCCCGGCCAATCACACAATCCATTCAGCCCACCTAAATGAGCGCACTTTCACACACACACCCCACCTGTGAACCTACAATTTCTTATCTAAGACAGGCCAGCGACCACAGACAGACACCAAGGTCATTCAGTATTGGAGGCAACCTTATGAAAACAGTTACTAAGCAATGAAGCTAAGAGCCCACCTAAATGAGCGCACTTTCACACACACACCCCACCTGTGAACCTACAATTTCTTATCTAAGACAGGCCAGCGACCACAGACAGACACCAAGGTCATTCAGTATTGGAGGCAACCTTATGAAAACAGTTACTAAGCAGTGAAGCTAAGCAGGCACACAACACTCTCACAGACTCCCCCCCCCAAACATCCCAAATGCAGAACTACAAAGAACAGAGAAACATTGGCATAAAACTTGGCAAACGAGTACTCGAGTTGGACAGCACCTTTAAGACCAACAAAGTTTAATTCTGGGTAGAAGCTTTCATCTGCATGCAAGACTTCTTCAGATGCCCGAATAAAGGATAGCCAAAGTGTGTGTGCACACAAAAACTTATACCCAGAATGAAACTTTGTTGATCTTAAAGGCTGGACTCAAACTCTGTCCTGTTGCTTCAGGGCTTCTAGTGTCCTTGCCCCACTGCTGGACCTCCTGATGGCCCCTGGTATTTGTGGCCACTGTGTGACACAGAGTGTTGGACTAGATGAGCCACTGGCCTGATCCAACACTGGCTTCTCTTATGTTCTTATGTCTGGGGCAAGGGATGCTCTGTATTCTTGGTTCTTGGGGGGGGGG